CTCACGCCTGTAATCCCAGCACTTTGGGAGGCTGAGGTGGGTGGATCACTTGAGGTCAGGAGTTCGAGACCAGCCTGGCCAACATGGTGAAACCCTATCTCTGCCAAAAATATAAAAAATTAGCTGGGTGTTGTGGCACACGTCTGTAATCCCAGCTACTGAGGAAGGAGAATCACTTGAACCCCAGAGGCAGAGGGTACAGTGAGCCAAGATTGTGCCACTGCTGTCCAGCCTGGGTGACAGAGCAAGACTCTGTCTCAAAAAATTAAAAAATCAAATCAAATCAAATTGACATCCTAAGTGGAATCTGACTCCAGATGCCCAGAAGACAACCAACATCTTTGTGGCTGGCAAAAAAAAAAAAAAGTTCCCTTTACAGAAACGTTCGGACAGAGGTTTGTGGCTTGGCAACCAGTCTTACGGCCAAATGAGGCGCAAGTTCAGGTCGCTTGAGTTTGAGAACAGATGAGAGAATAATTAATTGTTTAGAAGCTGTGGAAGTCTAAGAAGAAAAATGACTTCAACTAGAATCCATTCTTTCTGAAGGGAACTTGTTTTCCACGTGTGTTAAACGTCTTGGGGGAAAATCAGCTGTCCCCACCCACTTCGGAGTTAGATCGAGAGCTGGGTGGGAACACGGACAGACGGAGGGAGGCAGGGCTCCGGGCCTGGCCGCCCAGGAAGCAGGTGGGTGGCCGGCCCCGCAGTGAGCCCCACAGTGAGCCCCCTGCTCTGCCTCTTCTAGGATGCGGCCAAGCCCCTGGAGGTGCTGTTGATGGAGAAGAACCGCTCGCTGCAGTCCGAGAACGCCGCACTGCGCATCTCCAACAGCGACCTGAGCGGTAGGTTGGCCGGGCTTCACGCGTGTGAGGTGCTTGGTTCGCTTCCAGGGGTCGGTCAAGGAAAAGCAAGGTGAATCGTGAGTCTGGGCAGATGCATGGCCAGAGAAGCGCCGGTTAATGAGAACCTTTGACTAATGCGTGTTGGGTGCCCTTCTCCTCACCGCTCCTTCCTTCCCTTCCCCGCCCTGCTTAAAAAGCTGGATGTTGAGACGGGCCAGCCGCACAGGCTCTGCGGAGGTCAGTTAGGGGCAGTGCGTCTGGAGACCCCGGGAGGGACAGCTCGGAGGACGTCGGCCTTTCTGATCTGTGTCTAGTTGTGCTGCACAGAGGCCAGGGACAGTGTGAACGCAGCCTCGCTCTGGTGGTGTTTTCAGGGACAGCCCCGGGTATGCCGGGTCCAGTAGAGGTTTTTCTTCCTTGGTCAGGTCTACCCTGGGGACGCGTCCCCCATCCTTAGCCTTTCTTGGCTCATCCCCCAAATGGTGGCGTCACTGACTGTGCTTCTGATTTGGGCAGCTGGTAAAACGCGTACAGGTGTCTCGGGCTCCGATGGTATTGCATTCTCAAAACGGGCGCGCGCCTCCAAATCGAGGGGGCTTGGTACCGTGCATCCACCTCAGAGCAAGAGGTACGAGCGAATCCATTGGTCCAAAAATGTCAGTGTTTGCTGCTCCTCCGGCCGGGGCCAGCGGGCCCAGTAAGAGGCCCGTGACCCGTCAACTCTTCCCTGTGTGTGTCACCGGCTCCTTGTCACGCTAGGAGTTTGAATCTATGTGAAGGGGACTCTCCAGGCTGCAACGTACAAGAAAGGCGCAAACATGAATGCATGTTGCTTGTTTTGGGAAGCCTCGTTTGGCTGACTTACAAATTTAATCGGAAAACAAACCAACCCACCTCATTGGCCCTTGTAAAAAAAAAAAAAAAAAACCTGCACTTTTTTTTGTTTTCCCTTTTGCGGGGGCAAACTTTTGCATTTTGGTCTTGGTTTTTTTTTCCCCCTTTGGAATCCCCCATAATGCATTCTGTTTGCCCTTCCTTGTAGGGTCAGCCAGGAGGAAAGGGAAAGACCAGCCTGAAAGTCGGCGCCCGGGATCTTTGCCGGCCCCCCCTCCTTCTCAGTTGCCCCGCAACCCGGGGGAGCAGGCTTCCAATACTAATGGTACACACCAGTTCTCACCAGCGGGGTTAAGTCAAGACTTTTTCAGCTCATCCCTGGCAAGCCCCAGCCTACCCCTGGCTTCTACAGGAAAATTTGCACTAAACTCTCTTCTCCAGCGGCAGCTAATGCAGTCCTTCTACTCCAAGGCTATGCAGGAAGCCGGAAGCACAAGCATGATTTTTTCAACAGGTCCATACAGCACAAACTCCATATCTTCCCAAAGTCCATTACAACAAAGCCCAGATGTCAATGGCATGGCCCCATCCCCCAGCCAGTCAGAAAGTGCTGGGAGCGTCTCCGAGGGCGAGGAGATGGACACTGCAGAAATCGCCCGGCAGGTCAAAGAGCAGCTCATTAAGCACAATATCGGACAACGTATTTTCGGACATTATGTGTTGGGACTGTCTCAAGGGTCCGTGAGCGAGATTCTAGCTCGACCCAAGCCATGGAATAAACTGACTGTTCGCGGCAAGGAGCCATTTCACAAGATGAAACAGTTCCTCTCCGATGAGCAGAACATCCTGGCCCTCCGTAGCATCCAAGGCAGACAAAGAGGTGAGAGACTGGCGTTGGGTGGCGCCAGCGTGTGAGCCCGTCACAGAGTTGCACATGTGTGTGTGCATGCGTGTGTGTGTGCGTGTGTGTGATGAAACATTTGTGCATCACATCAGGTAAAGTTCTCTTTACTTCTGCCACGTCCAGAGCTCAAGGGTGGCCCGGCATGAGTTAAGGCTGTGAGATTTGGGAGATCTGGACTTTCAAATGCACTCAGCACTCCATACTTAGGAAACCCTGTAGTATTTCAATACTGTAGATCATATTACATGATGTATAGCGTCTTGGTATGCTTAGTGGCCATGGGTCTAATTGGCCTTGGGTGCTGGTCTCACTTTTGGGAGGAGCCCTTGCGTCCCCTCCAGCCCCATAGGACCATGTTGACTAGGCTTGATCATTGTGCAGAGTTGGTTCTGTAGGGAGAACACGTCACAGATGACACCCCCCATCTTCCCACCCCGCAAAAGAGGGCGTGTCCCGTGGCCACCTTCCTTACATTGTTCATGGTCCATTAGTGATTTGTTTAGCATTATGAGTAAAACAGGCCTGGCTTGAGTAAAATACACAAAAAATTTTATTTAGGCACCCTTTCTACCCCACCCTCTGTAAAAAGATAAAATGTCAGTCGCTTTCATAATTTCAAAAATCCTAGCCGGGCATGGTAGTTCACGCCCATATAATCCCAGCAGTTTGGGAGGCTGAGGTGGACCGATCGCTTGAGTCCGGGAGTTCAAGACCAGCCTGGGCAATATAGATTTTGTAATCTTTTGATCTACAAAAAAATCAAAAGATTAGCCGGGGGTGGTGGCGTGTACCTGTGGTCCCAGCTACCTAAGAGGCTAAGGCAAGAGGATGACTTGAGCCCAGGAGGTGGAGGCTGCAGTGAGCCATGATTGAGCCACTGCACTCCAGCCTGGGCAACAGAGTGAGAACCTGCCTCAAATTAAAAAAAACAAGAAAGAAAGTTCCTTCTCTGTTTTAAGACCAGGGGAACAATGTGCCACATCAACAGAGCTATAGAGAGGTCATTTCATCAGACATATTTGAAACACCCTGAAATTTAGACTCAAACAGAGCAGGGAGATGTTTTGAACAGCATCAATTTGCACCAAGAACATGCAGTGTTTTATGAGGATGTTAACCGAAATTGAATGTCTTTGGATGATTAATGTGAGCTTTGTTCCGGGGGCTGGTGGGTGATCCTCCTTCAAGGCAGTCCTCCCTCCCGTGGACCTCCCTGGCCTTGATGCCGTAGGTCGCTACTTAGATTTCTCCCATCTCCTTTTGCAGCAGAGTCACGGCCTCTGCGGGCCAGTCAGCCAGGGAAGGGCCTCTCAGAAGATTCTAGAAACTCCCAAGTTGCACAGGCAGCCCTGAGCCCTTTCTTTAGCGACAGGCGGCTCAGATTTCATGTCACACAGCCCATATCGTCAACACCACCATTCCCCTGATTGTTTTGTTCTTACCACACTTGTTTTTCAACAGAGAATCCAGGCCAGAGCCTGAACAGACTATTTCAGGAAGTACCGAAACGAAGAAATGGGTCTGAAGGTATGTTGCAGGCAGGTGTTTTCTTTGCAGTCAGTCACCTAGGGAAGCAGCATGTCCTTAGCTGTGTATTTGGGTTAAAACTGTGCAGTGTGATTCTGGCCTGGAACCTGATGGAAAAACAGCTAGTAAGTATAAAACAAGGCACGGGTTCAAGCACACCCAGCCCCTTCCTCCCAAGCTGCCTGCCCTTTCCCAAGCGCAGGCAGAGGTGAGAAGAGGCATCACTAAGCTAAGCACCCCCGAGTCTGAATCCCAGCCCACTTCAGATCCTAATTACCCGGTCCCCCATTTTTCTCAGACGCAGTTGAAAAAATAACAGTGGTTGCTCTGAGAAAAGTCAGGTGACCCCATCAAATTAAATACTGCTGCTTCCTTGTATTTTTAACTCGGAAATACACTCAAGGTCCTACGGAACGCACGCATCCCAAATCGTCCCGGTGGCGTACTTGTTTTTAAATGGTGGTATACTTGTTTTGAATGCAGTGGTTCCTATTTAGGAAGGTAGTACGAAATTAAACTATCCGGGCAGCTTCCCGAAAGAGCTGGGGCCGGCCCCCGGGCCATAGTAGCTTCATTTCGTCTGCACATTTGCCTGCACAAACATCACCGTGTGGCCGAAAGAATCCATCCTCGCCCCTTAGGAATTTCTGCAGGCTCCTTTCCTCGTTTGTAAATTTTAAAAAGACATTATGGGATCATAGATGCGAACAATTTTTTAAGTTAAGTCTGTCTGTCTTCAACCCTGTGCCTCTGAATGATTGACAGACAATCAGCCTCAAACCCTCCGCCCTCCTTTCCCGTTTATCCTGTGTGGGCCACCAGCCTCCAATAAACATCTAACCCCGACGAGAGTCAGTCCCAAGCCACAGCAGTTGCTTCTAAGTGACTCATGAGAAACATTGCCTTTTAATCACCCACCTTTTATATATATGGATTAAATGATCGGTTCTCCAGGGCACTAACCCACGGGTGGTGTCCGGCTCTGGCAGAGTGACACTGGCCATAAGGTCAACTGAGCAGGAAATCCCTCCTGCCCGGTGTCGCTGTGAAGTTGCACTCACAGCAAACGCAGGCCACTGGGAGGCCACATCTGCCTCCTTGTGTCACCAGCCCCCACCCGGGGCTATATATCAGAATGACGTCTTCGCGCAGCGCTGCTTTCTGTCCGAGGTTTGGGTTTGATGTCATTGGCGCAACTTCTCCCCACAGGTAACATCACCACCCGGATCCGAGCCTCGGAGACTGGCTCTGATGAAGCCATCAAGTCCATCCTAGAGCAAGCCAAGCGGGAGCTCCAAGTGCAGAAAACTGGTACAGCTTCTGTTTCTTCACCCACTGTCTTCCAAACTTAATTAAGAGAATTGTCATGAGTGCTCTGGTCAGCAGTAATTAACTATTTTTTTTTTTTAAGCAATAATGAACGCCTGTTCTCAAGCATTTAGGCACGTAGAGAGAAGCAGGTCTGTCTTTGTGATCTGTATTTGCCTAATAGTTACCTTTTTCTTTTTTTTGAGATGCAGTCTCGCTCTGTTGCCCAGGCTGGAGTGCAGTGGCACAATCTCAGCTCACTGCAACCGCTGCCTCCCAGTTTTAAGCTATTCCCCTGCCTCAGCCTCCCGAGTAGCTGGGACTATAGACATGTGCCACCATGCCCACTAATTTTTGTGTTTTAGTAGAGACGAGGTTTCACCATGTTGGCCAGGCTGGTCTCGAACTCCTGACCTCCAGTGATCCACCCACCTCGGCCTCCCACAGTGCTGGGATTACAGGCATGAGCCACCACACCTGGCCCCTAGTTACAATTATTCACAGAAATTGCACTCCTCAACTTTGACAGAACTACTTGCATTTCAGAATATAGCACAGGAAAATGAATACTAAGTATAAAAATTATCAGAGGCCAGGTGCGGTGGCTCACACCTATAATCCTGGCATTTTGGGAAGCTGATGGGGGAGGATGGCTTGAGTTCAGGAGTTTAAGACCAGCCTATGCAACATAGTGAGAGACCTTGTCTCTTAAAACACTAGCCAGGCATGGTGGTGTGCACCTGTGGTCCCAGCTACTTGGGAGGTTGAGCTGGGAGGATTGCTTGAGCCAGGGAGGTGGAGGTTACAGTGAGCCATGATCATGCCACTGCACTCTAGCCTGGGCAACAGAGCGAGATCCTGTCTCTAAAAAAAAAAAAAAGAGAGAAATCCTCGGGGAAAGGAGCCCTAGGAGGGCACGTCAGGGAGCACTTTCACTGACACCCCCTTTGTTACCCTCTACATCTGTGTGTACCAAAGGCCACCAGGTCATCAAGCTGCAGCATCAGGCCCTGGCCCTTGGTTCAGACAAAATGCCTGAATGTTTCACTGACAGGGGCCATGCTGGGGAAATAGACGGTGTGGTCCTCCCAAATAACCCACACTTTGCAGTAGGTCAAGTTAGGATGAGAAGCATGTCCCCAGCTAAAGGGGCCCCCCCCTGCCACACTCTCACCCCTGTTTCTCCACGCAGCAGAGCCGGCCCAGCCTTCCTCCGCATCCGGCAGCGGGAACTCCGATGACGCCATCCGCTCCATCCTGCAGCAAGCCCGCCGGGAGATGGAGGCCCAGCAGGCCGCCCTCGACCCTGCCTTAAAGCAGGCACCGCTGTCCCAGAGTGACATCACCATCCTCACCCCCAAGCTTCTGTCCACCTCGCCCATGCCCACCGTGTCCAGCTACCCGCCTCTCGCCATCTCCCTGAAGAAGCCCTCCGCAGCTCCTGAGGCTGGTGCCTCTGCTCTGCCGAACCCCCCGGCCCTCAAAAAGGAGGCCCAGGACACCCCCGGGCTGGACCCCCAGGGAGCCGCCGATTGTGCACAAGGGGTCCTGAGACAGGTGAAAAACGAAGTGGGCCGCAGCGGTGCCTGGAAGGACCACTGGTGGAGCGCGGTGCAGCCAGAGAGAAGAAACGCCGCCTCCTCCGAGGAGGCCAAGGCCGAAGAAACGGGCGGCGGGAAAGAGAAAGGTAGCAGTGGCAGCGGAGGTGGCAGCCAGCCTCGGGCCGAGCGCAGCCAGCTCCAGGGACCCTCGTCATCAGAGTACTGGAAGGAGTGGCCCAGTGCCGAGTCCCCATACTCCCAGAGCTCAGAGCTGAGTCTGACCGGGGCCAGCCGCAGCGAGACGCCTCAGAACAGCCCCCTGCCATCCTCCCCGATCGTGCCCATGTCCAAGCCCACCAAGCCCTCGGTCCCCCCGCTGACCCCTGAGCAGTACGAGGTCTACATGTACCAGGAGGTGGACACCATCGAGCTCACCCGGCAGGTTAAGGAGAAGCTGGCCAAGAACGGCATCTGCCAGAGAATCTTCGGGGAGAAGGTAAGGGATCTGATCTTGAGGCTTTGGTTCTCCTGTCTCTTCTCCTTGCTGAGGACCAAGTATCTATCCCAGAGTGTGTGACCCTCACCCATTTCAATTCACCCAAGAGCAGAGCATAAGGCATCCTCTGCTCCCAGACTTCCAAGGTGCGGCTGGTAAACATTCCAGCCCCGATTCCGTTTGTCGAGCCCCGACTGCAGCCAGGTTCTGGACTCGGCCTCTCACCTGTGTGCTGCCCTTTCAACCTCTCAGTTACGCTGGGAAGTAGACGATAAAATCCCCATTTGACCAGGAAGGACATCAAGGCTTGGGGACGTTAACTACTTGCCCCAAGCTGGCCGGCAGCCTAGTTCACATCTAGCTTTTGCTGCCAAGGGGGAAGCCGAGAGGCACCCCTGCAAGTTTCTTTGGCTAAAAAAGATCTGATCTGATCACATAGAGGGACCACCAGTACGCAGAGAGCCAAAAGGGACTTACTAGAAAAAGCTGCAGAGAGCATCATTGTTCCTTTCTGTGTAACTCTTGGATATTGTTCAGTCAGAGAGGTCAAGCAACCTGCCCAGGGACACACAGCTCGGGGATGGCCCAAGCAGGGTGGCCTGTGTTTCCCCATCATCCGTCCCTAGCTCAGGAAAGTGTAATCATGCATGGACAAGCTTCTAGGGCTTTCTGTTCTTGGCACTTTCCTGGTCACTGGGATTCAGGAGAATGAGGGTTAACTGCACCTGCCAAATCTAAAATAAACATCATGTCCTAGTATCATTTTATTTATTTATTTTTTGAGATGGAGTCTCACTCTGTTGCCCATGCTAGAGTGCAGCGACGCTATCTCATCTCACTGCAACCTCTGCCTCCTGGGTTCAAGCGATTCTCCAGGTTCAAGCGATTCTCCTGCTTTAGCCTCCCGCGTAGCTGGGATTACGAGAGCCCACCACCACGCCCAGCTAATTTTTGTATTTTTAGTAGAGTCGAGATTTCACCATGTTGGCCAGGCTGGTCTCGAACTCCTGACCTCAAGTGATCTGCCCACCTTGGCCTCCCAACCCCCTACCATTTTAGATTAGATTTAGATTAAATAATGGAGTGCTGAATAGAACAAGAAGCACCCCTCTCCCCTAAAAGGAAGGTGCCCTTCCTGAGGGAGCACGTGGCTGATCAGCAGGGGACAAATCTCCCTCCCCTGCTTGCCAAGCCAGGGTCCCTGCATGGTGCCGTCCCCGCACTCCCCGCCCTGCCTTCCACTCCGTGTTTGCCATATGCTGTGCTGTAAATCCGAGTGGTGTCCAATGGCGAACTTTGCCCTGATTTTGCAAAAGGTGAAGGGGGGCAACTAGAAATGAGGATGAGTATTTCAAGCCCCTTGAGATTTCTAGATCAGTGTTGTAAAAATACCATTTGAGAACATGGAAATAGACATTCGTGCTCATGCCTTAAATTTAGCAGACTTAATAGCACTGAACTTGTTTGGCCCGTGAGTGCAGTTTTATTCTGGAACTTGAGAACTTTTCAAAAGAGTGATCGGATGCAGCCCCTAAATATCCCAGGGCGGCATCTGTGTCCTGTGGGGGGTGTTTGTGCCTATACATATGTATGGCCATATGGGAGCATCAGAAAACTCGGGTGTGTACACGCAACTCAGCGATCATCTGCGGCGGACTGTCACTCCCAGGCCAGCTCCCCGGGTCCTACCAGCTCACCTCTGGGCCCCCACCTTTGATCAGGATGCGGTCAGAGCAAGCAGACCTTTCTAAATGCCGGCCTGGTTCTGTTTGCAGAGGACACCAGCTTCCCCGGTCCCACCGGCACCCTCTGCCCCACCTCCAGAGGGGTCTTATCCCTGGCACCTTAGCCTTTCCCGGTGCCACCAGGTGAAGAGCAAGGTGCTTGTACACACCTCCTCCGCAGGGTGTCAGGGTGACAGGCCTGCTGTCTTGGCAGGATCAAGACCCTGGGATGAGACCCTCTTCCCTTCCTGGGAGCCAAGAGCTGTGGCTGTAACCATGGCTTGCCCAAAAGTCCTCCTGTGCCGGGGTCTCAGCCTACCATTGATCTTTAAACGTTTATTCCCTGCCCACAACCTGTCACTGCCACCAGGCCGCAGTTCTGTGCTCAGAAGTCAGCCCTAGACACGCCTTCTGTGTGTTGCATGTGCATTGCAGCAGTGTCTGTGGCGTCAGGCTATTACCCCGGCACTGATGGCCGTGTGTGTTCGGTGCCATTCCAGGTGCTGGGCCTGTCCCAGGGCAGCGTCAGCGACATGCTGTCCCGACCGAAGCCATGGAGCAAGCTGACGCAGAAAGGCCGAGAACCCTTCATCCGGATGCAGCTCTGGCTGAACGGCGAGCTAGGCCAGGGTGTTCTACCCGTCCAGGGCCAGCAGCAAGGGCCAGGTAACAGGGGTCCTGCCAGAGGAGAGGGGCTGCCCCCACTGTAGCAAGGACCTGGTCACAGCAGCCCCACCTGGGCTATGCAGAGAGGGAGGAGGGAACTCCACCCCAGGAGGCGGCCAGCCACGCTCCCCACCATGGGCTGGTGCTGGGGGACAGAACCGTCCCCTTCCTCCACAACCTGTCACCGTGGGAGAGAAGATCGTGCCTAATTTTATAAGCAGCAGAAAATGAGTTACCAATTTAAAAAATGCTGTTTATACATAAATACAGGTAAAAGTCAAGTAGCTGAATCAGGGATTCAGGAAAGAAAGTCAGCCAAGGGTACTAAAGTGGGAGATGTCACAGGCAAAACCTTTCACCTTCTCCCAGCCCAGGGGCCTGGCTTTGCGACAGCAGCGCCTCCCTGGCCCGCGGGTCCCGTGCTCGCCCCTCCCCAGGAGGAGTGGGAAGCCTCCCCGGGCCTTGCCACATGCAGTTAGGAAGCTTTAAGCCCTGGGCCGCGTTCCTTCCTTTAATTATAACCTTTTTCTACTTCAGTCCTCCACTCTGTGACGTCGCTCCAGGACCCGCTGCAGCAGGGCTGTGTGAGCTCAGGTAAGCAGCCAATTTCTGTTGCTTTTACATGAAATGTCTCACTGCCTTTTCTGTTGTCCCGTGCTCTGCTCTGTCCCGGGGAGACTCCAAGGGACCCCACATTCTGGATTTGGGGAGCTGAAATATGGCATCCTGTCTGCAAACGGGGTCCCTCTCTGCGTCAGTTTCTAATGGAGGGCGAGTCAACAGTGCACGGAGGGACCCTGCCAAGGTTTGCACACCCACTGTCATCCTTCGTCGGCCTAGAGCCTTGTGTTCAGGGCTGGGGTCTAAGTCAGAGACAGATTTCCCACTCGGGGGCTTACTGTCTGACAGGAAGGGGCAAAGTACGGGCGCACATCCCTCTCCTGGTGTGGTCGTGTCAGGGGACTTCTTGTCTAACCGGAAGACATCTAGGCATCCTCTGAACAGGAAAATGGGGAGCTTGGACCTTGAACAGTGGGAAAGGTAGGGTAGCAGAAAGGAAATGGCCAGGAAACCCCTGAAGACAGCTCAGGCGTGAACGGATGAAGAGCTGGGGACTGAGATCAGAGCCCGGGAGCAGGTGGTAGCGGAGGGTGGTGGCTGCAGGCTGAGAAGCTCAGGCTCCTTTCTGTCTGCATTTCACAGCCTTGAGGTCTCCAACCAGACTTGTTCTCTTTGCCACACGGTGCCTGGACACAGCCCGTCCAGGCTGACCCATGGCTACGGCTCCTAGGCTCCCTCCTGCGCCCCCCGCCTCCCATCTCACGCGCCGATCCCACACTTGGAGCTGAGCTTTTTACAGCCAGCTTTTAGGAACAGCCAGCACTGTGAGCTGGTCCTCTTTTTCCCTTTCTGTATTTTTCTAAACATGTTGATTCGTCTCCATATCCCATTGATTCATTGAAAACACAAACAAAGCTAACAGGAGCACGAAGCCCGCCAGCTTGCCTCAAGCTCCACGAGGGGGAATGTGTGTAGCACAGGGAACAGCTGTGTGGCAGTGGCTGCTGCTTCTGCAAGAGCCCAAACCCTCACACAGATGCAGCCGGAGCGCCTCGGTGGCATCTCAGTCCCCAGTTGAGAGTTCTGCGTGTTTTCCGTGTTTGATTTGATTCTGACCAACGTAGGGGTTAGGAGGCTGTGTTGGCTGGACATCGAGGTAGAGCGGGCGTCCATCGGAAGGAGGGATCACTCATTCTGGCTTGGCCAATTTAATTAGAAAGTACCAAGAACTAATCCAGCACTGGCTCGAGTTCAGAATACTTGAGGGGAAATAATGGATGTAGCTGTTTGTGCTGGAGTTTTACGGACGTCTGCATGGAAAGTTAGCCTTGACCCCCTGCTGTAACGGGAAGTTGGCCTTCTTTAAACTCATGAGAGTATTTGAGTCCATTGAGGCAGGACTGAACTTGGCAGAAAGTGACTAATGTTTTCTAGATCAAAACCGCTCGTTAGACCGGGTGCAGTGGCTCACGCCTGTAATCCCAACAGTTTGGGAGGCCGAGGCGGGTGCATCACCTGAGGTCAGGAGTTTAAGACCAGCCTGACCAACGTGGTGAAACCCCATCTCTACTAAAAATACAAAAAAAATTAGCTGGGTGTGGTGGTGGGAGCCTGTAATCCCAGATACTCGGGAGGCTGAGGCAGAGTTGCTTGAACCCGGGAGGTGGAGGTTGCAGTGAGCTGAGATCGTACCACTGCACTCCGGCCTGGGTGACAGAGTGAGACTCCATCTCAAAAACAAAAAAAAACAAAAAACCCCTTGTCCTACATAAAACAGGAAGTCTCCCTCGGTGCCATCCCTGCTGGCATCAGATCGATGCCAGAAGCAATTTCTCCTTGACGGAACAAATCCTAGAAGAATGACGTTTTACTTTGTATTGTAACAGATCATCGCCACTGTGCTGGAACGTCCCTACAACAGTCACGTGTCAAACCTAAGAAAAACACACTAGGCTCTAAGAGGAATGTAAATGATATTTGTAAGATACCAATTGACTTTATAGAATAAAGTCAGTTAAGACTCCTGGGCAGTCTCGCAGATTGGAAGCAGGAGATAGAAAAAGGCAATGAGCCCCTGGATGAAACGGAACAGGGTATGGAGGTTGCCAGTGGTTTTTGTGAAGAGGCAGCAAATGGATGTATCTCCCCCACCCCGCTTCCATGTCATTCCAGCGAGAGGGGAGGTGAAGCACATATCACCGACCCAACACCCTGAAGTCATAGGAAAGCAGCAGCAGAAGCAAAAATCATGGTCATAGGAAAGCCAGCAGCAGAAGCAAAAATAATGGTGACTAGGGAAAAAAAATGGAAAAAGATTTCTTATATTGCAGGAAAATTTTTTCTTTTTTTTTTTTTTTTTTTAAGACGGAGTCTCTCTCTGTTACCCAGGCTGGAGTGCAGTGATGCAATCTCAGCTCACTACAACCTCCACCCCCCAGGTTCAAGTGATTCTCCTGCCTCAGCCTCCCGAGTAGCTGGGAATACAGGTACCCACCACCACGCCCAGCTAATTTTTGTAGTTTTAGTAGTGACAGAGTTTCACCATGTTGGCCAGGCCAGTCTCGAACTCCTGACCTCAGGTGATTTCCCCCACCTCAGCTTCCCAAAGTGCTGGGATTACAGGCGTTAGCTACTGCGCCTGGCCAGGAAAATTTTTTAAAATTGTATAGCGTAATGACGGCTAAGTAAAAATATTTCTCTGGACCAGCAGGACTAGGAGGGCTTTGCCAGAAAGAAAAGAGATTATCATATGGCTTTCCTCATCTGAGTCTTTACTATCAGAGGTTACTTTTCAAGGGAGTTTCACA